AATTTCCAATACATTACTAGAGTTCCTTTTTTAAAATGTCCTTTCATTATTTTACATTTATATTGTGGTTGAATATTCTATATAAATAATATATATATATATATATATATACATGAATTTTTTACTTTTAGAATTTAAAATTGAATTCTAATAAAATTAAAAATCAAGGATACACGACCATATTTGCCTGTCATACTCATTTAAAATCCTTCATTTTATTTTGTTAATTTAAATCGGATTTAAAAATAATGCATAAAACCAAGTTAGTATATTTTAAATTTTATAGTTCTTTTCATTTTTTGTAATTATACAGTTCTAGATAATGGCTTGTCGTATGTTCTATATATATATACGTTGATTTAATTCCACAATAAATAAATGGAATACTATGTGAATCATAATAAATATTTGGAACATGTTTTGGATATTAAAAGGATTTTTATCTGTTCAATATTATAATGAATCTAGCCCTCATATTTTCAAAAGATATATATAATTTAAATATGAATACGTATAAAATTATAGACGTCTAATAATGTAAATCTATTGCGTGGAGTATATTTTATAGAAGTAATAGAAAATACTTCATAGTGGAATGTGTATTGTAGAAAATTTTGACCGGAATGTAAGATATTTAGCTAGCGTAATTTACATCTAAGTTTAAAGGTCTTTTTTACGGTTTGAACTCAATTGAAGTAGGATAAAAAGTAAAACTTAAAAATTATTCGTACACTTTACAGCGAAAAGAGGAGATTAAGTAACATCAACTTATACACTAATTTTTCATCATTAAGGATATAAAATAAATAGGAATTATAAGTTTTATAAAATTTACACAGACTATTATAAAATCTCAGGAAAAGGAAGCAAAGAACAGAAATTTTCAAATAATTTTGAAAAATTTGAATTTTTTATATTTCCCAAGAATATTTCGTACTTTGTCTGTAACAATATAATTTCGCGATATTTTATATTTCAAAAAAATTAATTTAGACATTCATATATACTCATCTACATTAATGAGCACATTATAACCCTATCCAACAATTTGACAACAAACTATTCTTATCAAAGTAAAAATAAATAAAATTACACATAATTTTCCATATAAAAAAAAAAACATTTCATAAAATTCTACTCCAATGTCATTATGATTTTCAAGAGTAATTTTAAAATATCATTAACATTTTAATTCGAAATATTCAATTATAAAAGTGTTCATCGTGTATAACTTTTCTAACATCTTTGACACTATCATTTGCAATTTATTTTAAATGCACATATATATATTTATTGTTGTATGTATATATGAAGAGAATTAAAGAAAAAAGCATTTCAATGTTATTAAAGCTTCCATTATTGTCAAATGAAAATATGCATATAACAAAAGAAAATTTTATTAAACATTGAGTTGACATTTAATAGAGATTTATAATACTGAAAATTTATTCAACTATATACATAAAAGTTACACTCATTTCTATGAATCTCCTTTACATATTTTATTTACATCGTACGTATGGTGTACGTATATTTATTGTAATAAAAGGGAGAAATTTTATTTAAGATTCGAATAAAATGCAATAAACTATGATGTACTTTGGGTTTTTGGTTATACTATGCTGATTATACTATTGAGTTTTTGGTTATCAAAAATATTTAACATCAACATCAAAATGACATCAAAATTTTATTTGGAATGTAGATTGATTAATACAAAAAAAAATAAAAATATAAAAAAAAAGTGAATTACATTGTATTCAAAATTCGATGTTGTATGACAAATTCTTAAAAATTTATTGATCTGATTTTAAAAAAGAAGTTAAAGTTAAAACTGAAGAATATTAACTAAGCTTTGTGATCTAAAATAATATTTATATAACAGTCGCGAATATTTATTAAAAGGTCATCCTATTTTCACAATTTATTTGAAATTTTTCAAAAATTTAAACCCACATCGACCTACTTAATTTATATTTGCCACTTCTGGTCCATAAAATCATCAATATGATTAGTTTTTCCTAAATTTTTTAGTTTTGGTTTAGCTTTAATAAGTTTTATATTAGTGTCTTTTAGATGGTAATTCTGCAGCATTAATAATAAACATATTTTACAAAATATATATCTAGTTAGCTCCAATAAAATATGAACATTTATGTTTCGGGGAAAAACTCAAATAATATTGATTACTGTAAAATACGTAAATTATGTAAATAAGATAAAAATTTTGTTGTAAAAAATTAAAAACATATCCAAAATAGTTTTGATATAAAAACAATGTTTGGACATATTTTCAATTGTTTACGTTATTTACATGCTTTATATAATTTACATTAATTTGTAATACATTTTAATTTATTTACGCTATTTATTTAATCTACATTAATTATGTTTATTAAATTATTAACATTTTTTACATTTTTTACCTTTTTTACGTTTTTTACTTTTTATACGTTTTTAACATTTTATACATTTTTTACATTTTTTATGTTACTAAAGATGTTTGGGTTATTTATGTCATTTTAGTTATTTACATTATTTACGTTTTTTACTCCATTTACCTTATGAAGTTTTTCCGATGAAATTTTTTGTGAAAATCTATACGAAATACAAATTATATTATAAAGTTTAATCAAAGAACCTCAAATTGCCATTTACAATTTAAGAACTTTTTAACTTTAAAATAAAATTTGTTGGAAAAGTATGTAATACAACTCTCATTCATGAATGGAGAATTAAATTTCACGGGAAATTATGTGTATAAATTCAGCCTAGACGTTTAACTCTTTTCTCATAGCCTAAGACACAATCTATATACTATTAGTAAGTTAAAAAAAATTTTTAATTTTTCTATTGAAATTTTTCCTTAAAAACCATGCTTAATCTTTTAAAGTATTGCAAAATTACAGCAAACTCTACTAAGTCCCACGTCATTTGCATGTAAGCATAAAATGAATAAGGAAGTTTCAATGTTATGTTTTAATTTTTCCAAATTTACAACAAACAAAAATGTTTTAATATTTTTACAGGAAAACTTTTTAGTTAAAAATTAAAAACTTTTTTCTAAAAACACACTCTTTAACATGAAGATGAAAAGAGTCAAAGAAGGACAAATAGAATCAATTATTTTACAAAGCCAAAAATATATGACGAAAGGCAACAACAACCACACATACATATATATATAAACGTTTATGTCATGTGTACGAACAATGTAAACAAGGGAAGTATGGACATATTTAGACCATGTTCGTTCTTAATGTATGATGTAAAAATTATTTGATTATCAGTTATCACACAACTTTTCTAAATTTTTATTCTTTCCTCTTTTTTTTTACAAATATTTTTCTTTTATTACACTATGTAACAAATACAAGTACATACTATATGTAACATATTTTGCTAATTTCTCTCTCTCTTTCGTGCTTTTTGTGCTATACTTTTATATTCTACTATAAAATAACAAAAATGTATACTGCATACGGTATTTTTGCTTCTCTTTTATCTTTTCATTATAAGGGAACTTTGATTTTGCAAGTTTAATTACAAAATCTAGTTTAACTCTTCGCATATTATTATTATGCACATAATAATTTGATAAGGATAACAATATATGTATTGAAAATTTTATTTAATTGTCTGCTTCTTTGTTTATATTTTAATTAAAATAACTACCGAATTATCAAATAGCTATCTGTAAAGAAATTATGTGCATAATAATAGTATTTAAATAACATATTAGATTACTAAAGAAAGTCTTAGGTAACTGCCAGGCAAGATGCCAAATTCCATACACAAGGCGAGAAAGAAAATTAAATTATTTTTTTTATTTTGCCGTCAGTAAACTGTCGTGCTAGTACTTTAACATTCGCTGCAGATTAAACCATTAATAAAAAATATTTATCTATTTATTTTGAAGAACCATTTTAGTATGTTGAAAAACTGTCTCATGAATTCAGCATATTAAATTTTAATAATATTATACTTGATGTAACTTCGAACTTTCAATAACATTTGTTACTTATATCTCCGCACATATCAACCATATTAAAATTAATGACCAATGTCCTATATAATGTCTTTGACATCCACAACAGCGAATATTTATAAGTTAGATTGTGTAAAGAGATCCTACAATTGGAATTATTGCAGTAATTATTCAAATTCAGCTTATAACTGCTAAAACTATTAACTTGCATAATACAGTATTACTGAAATCCATAATATCAAGCAAAATGCAATTTTGATGTTAGTTATTATTCTTAAAATTATTCAAATAAATTTAATTGAAATAATTTCTTGAAATAAATCGTGTATAAAAAATATTTACAAAAACAGATTTTTCTATTTTCGCCTTATTGTATGCAATTTTTAAAAAATTTTTATTGCAATAAAAATTCAAAGTTGTTCTATTATTTTTGTATAAAAAATTTGATTTACTATTTATTCATTGAGATAAATATGAAAGAGCTTAAATAAATATCTTAAGAAAATCAAACTCAACCACATTTTTGAATGAGTTCTAAAAGGAAAATTGACATAAATCCATTTCGTTTTTTTCGTTTTGTGTTTGAGTATTTATAACACTACGTAACCTATAACACAACATCATTTTAATTGTGTTCTTCACAAAAATTTTTATCACAATATTGTTTGCTACGAAATAAAATATTTTATAAATTGCAAAAAAATTGGCTTATTGTTACCCTTTTGTTAAGGTATTTTAAATATATATGAAAGACATTAATTTTGCAAATACAAGTTCCATAAATGATTATACAAATGATACAAACAAACAAAAATATTAAGTACAACTTTATATACAAAAAGACTCTTTTATATTATGAAAAGGACAACAATTTATAATAGTAAAGTATTTATGTATTATAGAATTTTAAATAAATTTTATATTATAAAAATATTTTAACATTTTTCATTTTATTTCATTTTTTTTTTTTTTTTTTCATTTTTAATTTAAAATCTTGTTTACATAATTGTAGTAACTATCAACAAATACAAACTCTTGCTTATGAAGGACATGAAGTTGCAACAGAAACAATATCCTTACAAAATGGATTACAAGATAAAGGATATGAAGAATGGGTTGGTGAAATGATCGGTATGAGAGAAATTTTACGTTATTTTGCAAATATTTCAACAAGTGAAGTTGTTGGTATGAGAGCACCATTCTTAAAACCTGGACGTAATACACAATATAAGGTATATAAACAATATATGTATGAAGTTTTAATGTATATTAATAAAATTGTATATTTACATAATATTTAAAAATTATGAAAATGTTTACATGATTGTATAGAAAATTTGTGGTCTATATGTTAGAAAATGTTAATATATTGAGAAGAAATTATTATAAAGAACAGGAATGAGAAATTATGCAAGTTTTTGTCACAAATTGGTAAAATATTTAAATTCTGCACAAATTTTATAAAATATTTAAGTATATAAGATACCACGAGCAATAATAAAATTTCATTTCAAAGACATAATGATTTATTTGAAATTTTTTCACAAGAAACTAATACTGGAGCTAAAATAGTAATATTATTATGAAAACTATTGTGCTATGCAGTCATATCTAAAGTTTCTATTTTCACTTAAACTTACGCTTAAATTCTAATGTTTTAAATTTAGATTAAAGTCATCCTTAAAATATCTTACCAAATTCAATTCAATTGTACAGGAACACTCGAAATGTATATGAATTTTGAAATGGTATGTAATAATTTCTGAACTTCTTCATCATTAATTTCACTGTTGCTGCTCTAACTGGAGTTAAATATTCAAGTAAAATTTTTTAATATTCTTTTAAAAAGGAATTAAATATAAAAATTATTTCTATAGTAACCTTTATGATAAACGAAGAATATTAAACAACGTTTTAATAGTACCATGTCATTATCCTTTTTTTGTAAAAAAAAAAAATTCATTTGATTACAATTATATAATATATTTCGCTTTTTCACTGTTATAAAACTTTTCATGTCAATTTAATTACATACGTACTTATATACAGAATTAAAAGAATATTACATTTGTTTTCTTATAATTTTTATTGGAATTAAGTTTTTTATATTATTCAAAGAGAAGGTATGTATGTATGTATAAATTTATTAAAAATTAAAGAAATTATTACAAGTTATTTGTATTCAATATAAAGCTCATATATAACAACAAGAATTTTCTTCAAGTCAAATTTTTTATTAACATTTTCAAATAGATCTCATGATTTTTTAATACTCTTCATAAACAGTCGTCGTGGTATTAATGGAAAACTACGAAAATAATAACTGCGCAATCGAAAAATGAAAATATTTTAAAAAAATTATAAGCAAGTTGGTACTTTCCCCATTTCTTTAAATGGTTGTTAGTGCTCCCTGTTTTCATATGTAGCTCTTAAAATTTTTAATTCTAAATATGTGAAATAACGTAAATTATATTATATGACTTTATTCGTGCAAGCTGCCCGCCCTATTTTAAAACACAAAGTATTCTTAAAATTTCGTTTCAACTCTCGGTGGTAAATTGTAACAATTTCGTTGATTTTCGCAATTGTTAAAGTTTACACTTCAAACTTCATTAGCAAAAATTAAATTTCATATTTTTAAAATTAATCTTGTAATAATACTTTTTTATGTATACCTATAACAATTACAATATTTTTCAGGTTATTGAAGATTTTGCATATATATATGATAGTTCAGTAACAGTACCACCATCAAATATACCAATATGGCCATATACATTAGATTATAAAATATCACATGAATGTAAAAGTGGTACATGTCCATCAAGAATATTTCCAGGTGTATGGGAAGTACCATTAAATGCACATTATGTTGAAGGATATGAAGGTGGACATTGTCCATATTTAGATCAATGTGTTTTACATAATTTAGATACAGAAGAAGTATTTGAATGGTTACAAGAAGATTTTTCAAGACATTATGAACAAAATAAAGCACCATATATGATGCCATTCCATACAAATTGGTTCCAAAGTAAAGATTTAGTTAAAGGATTACATAAATTTATTGATTGGACATTGACATTGTAAGTAAATTCTATATTATATTCAAATTTTAAAATATGCATAAGAAAAACTTTGATGCTACTTTTTATTTAATTAAAATTTTTCATGGCCTTTATAAACTCCTTTGAGATTCTATAAAGTATTATTGACTTTGAGTATTAAAACTCAAATTTGAAAATTACATTAATATAATTTCGATGTATTTGCATATAGAATACAATATCTAACTTTAATTTATAAAAGCCATTCTATTTTAGTACAAAAATAATAATTTTAACACAGAATACTTTACTTTACAAATGCACATTATTGCTTCTAAAGAGAATATAACAATGCCATGACAAATGGATGTTGATTTTTGAAGATATAAAAAAAATTTGAGATCTTGTCAATAAGACGAAATTCAATGTGCATTAATTTGATTAAAATTTGTAATGACAATCTTTTGTAATAAAAAAAAACAAGATATAAGCACCTACAATAAAAAGGATATAATATACAAAAATACACAACAAAAAAAAAACTCTACAGAAAAAAATGAAATGTATACAGGAAAAAAAAAAGTCCTTTGCAGAGAAAAATGCAATTTTCAGTTATGACGATGGCATAAAAAATTTTTTTATCAATAAATCCCAAATTTTAAAGGATATACAAAATCACATTCACGTAATATTTTGTAAATTAATAAAAAGAAATATACATACATACTCTTATGTATATGTTTGTATGTATGAATGATAACGGTAACATTATTCTTATTAAGAGTGAATGTACTTTACTTGCCTTTTGCTTTTTATTATTATGTGAATTTCCTTTAAGGACTATGCGTCAAAAAATGTTCCATAACATTTTATCTCATTTTTAATTTTGTTGCAGTCCCTTTACATAATTTCGAAATCCTTATATATTTTTGGATTTTTTTTCCTGTATTCATAAATTTATTTTGAAATTACTTGTAAAATATATTTACTTCTTAAATATGTCAGTGAATTGAAGAAACGTTTATTAAAAAAAGAAATATGCGAATAATTTTTATTTAAAATCTACGAAATCGGCTATATCAATTTTTATTTATACAAATTGGCTGTATAACACTTGTATACGAATTTTCTTGCAAGAGTTATACTAACAAGTAGTTCTCATAAACGTCTTATTAATAGTTTAGTTGTGCTACTAAACTTGTTATAGTGAAATTTGACAATTTTAGCTTTTAAAGTCTTTCAGTTTTTCTTAAATCTAACAACTTTAACCTTTAATTTATTGTAAACCTTTAATTTAATGTATTATAAGCATTTATGTTGCAACAAACGAATTTTGCCGCAATCATATTATGAAATTTATTTGTGCTAACTTTGATCATTTTCACTTTTATAATCTCACATATATAATCACATTACCTTTACCAGTTGTCAGGCAGCTGATGTTACCATGTAAGGTACTTTCTTGTTACCATGTAAGCATTCTTTCTTATGTGAAATTTGAATACTATAGGTTTTGTATTTTCCGAAATATAACCAAATTAATTTTGATGGTATCTATTAGAAAGAAATTCAATTCTCGGACATAAAATTCTTTAAAATTTCAAGCTTTCCCAATAAACGAGCTTTAAAAGAAGTAAATGGTTCCACGTCATCAAGTGTAATATAGTAAATTTTTATACCTTAACTGATTTAAATAAGTGTTTAATATTCAAATGTGCCTTGAGTGGAAAATCTCCTTTCTTCTTGCTTTCACAAAAAAGTATTAATAATTTTATTTTAAGAACATAGCTAAATGTCCTTTAAAAATTTAAAAAAATTTAAGATCCTCTCATATTAAATAACTTTATCATTCTTAGATCAAATTAAAAAATAAAGCGATTTCTGTACACATTTCAAAAAAATAAGCAATGCAGGCCGAATAGTAAAATTGAAATTAAAAACTCAATTTAAAATTTTCTTTTCTATAAATTTTGTTTTTTTTTTTTTTCAGTTTTCTTCTCATTGTGCACTTATAAAAGGAACCAAACTCAAAAACTTTTGCCTTATATTTCCTTATTTATTACTAAAAAAGTCTGTACATTTTGTCTTGTTTTTAAATAACAAAAGAAGGACATTTGTTTAAGGACAGTTTTATTTTTTTTTTTCAAAAATTTCCTCTAATTTCGTCCCATTTAAATAAATATCTAAGCATGACATTCGAATGAAATTTTTTTATTCTATTTTAGAAATAAAAAATTATTAAAATTAAAGCAAACTAATTTTGTATTCGAAAGAAAACGAAGAAAAAATAAAATAAAAATTATTGAAAAGAATAAAATTAAAATAATAAAAAAAAATAAAACAAAAGATTCCAGAAACAATTAAAATTTTCCTCTGACCTTTATTTTAAATAGTCTTCAACATAAATTTATCCAAATACTATAAGAAGTTGCTAAGAATTATGGTAATCTGGACTTTTTTTACTATATGAACATGTTTTAGTGTTTTACCATAATATGAACAAAATTTTTGAAGGAACTCGAGAGTGTCGTTTGTTTTTCAAGTCCTGTCAATTTGCATCAACTGAAACTGTCCTCTAAGAAAAGTTATATTAAGTATATATTACTGTATAATACTGTCAATACATTTAATACAACTAATTCTATATAGATATAATACAATATTATAATCAAAATATTTATACAAACCGTTTTCATTACCCTCTGATCTGTAAAAGTAAATACTACGAGCAACTAAATTTAAAATAATTAAAATTTACATTGAATTGAACAATCCATATAAGACGTGAATACTAAATTCATTGATCAGTTCTAATACTAAAACGTACAGGTACTAGATTCATTCACGTGTTCATCAACTCATTAAGTAATTAGCCAGTAACCATAGCTTCTTATTGACTCAAAAATTAACCAAAATTGTATAAAATCATTCTTGACTAGAAAATACTCACTATGGGTAGGATGCATAGGATTTTCGAAAATAACATTACGTTAATAATAAAACAAAGACATTCTATAATCTTGAGAATACTATATATCTCCACTGTTTGAGTATGATTAAAGTTATTTAGCCTAATTCGCCTCTAATAAATTATCATTTGAATTCGGCAATTCACATATCAATCTTCAAATTCATTATTCAATTTAGTAAAAGAAATTTTTCAAATTACTATAATTACATATTCTGGATTCTTGATGAATTATAATTTTAACTTACATAATTGTCCAATAAATACTGGTATTTATAAAAAGTTTTATATGTGAATTGCAATAAATGCCTCCTTGAAAACTTGTAGACCTTGTAGATTGCCTATAAGAACAGGGATTGTGACCAATTACTTTCATAAACAAACATTTTGAAAACAATACCTTCCATTTTTTTTTGTTATACAAAAGAAAAATAAAGCATATATTAGAAAAATCTTTGGAACAAGTCCAAGTTATTATTCATTCACTGATAATTCATTCATTCATTCAATGACAGATTCACTATTTTACATAAATTCTTTTATTATTTCTAAAGATAAAGGCGATAGTTATTTTAAATTTACACCTTAATGATTCTTCTATATCTTTTCAAATCTCACAATTTATTATTCACTCAACTTCTATAAAAATATATAAAATTTATTCCTACAATGTTTTTGGGGGAGAAATTTCACTAAAAATGAAAAGAATTTTAAATGAAAAATCGTGAAATTTTTTCCTTTTTTTCTTTTTTCTGAGAACAAAACAAAATTTGCATAAAAAAATTAGGGAAAAAATAACGACAAATGTTTGTTTCTTTCATAACTTTAGGATTCGGAAATCCCAAGAAAAAAAAAAGACATTTAATTCTTCAATTAAAACTTTGACTTAAATTTCAATTTTCTTTACCACAATTTTTTTTTTAAATTATAAATATTTGATTTTTATTGTTTTGTCTCACTTCCTGTTCCCTGATTTTCATTTTTCTGAAAGAAAACTTTTCTTAATCTCTTATTTTAATATTTATATTTTTTTTTCTAAAATAAATTTAAAAAATAAAATTATAAAATGACCTTAAAATAAAGTTTCCATGATTTTATATTTAAAATGGAAAACCAAAAATAAAGAAATTCTTTAGATATTTGGAATATACACTTATTAAGCATACATTTTTCTTCGAAATGGCTAAAAACAGGTGTCCATACAAAATTTAAGGTATTTTGTCACACTATCAGATTGTTTATGAATCAAATGCTTTCGTGTTATTAATATTTAGGTATTTTATTCAGATATATACAGAACTGCTTTTAAAAGCATTCCGAGCTCTTAAAAGTACTGTTTTTAAAAGCTCTTAAAGTCTGAAGTAACCCTTGCAACTTTGAATCCAAATAACGAAAACGATATTCTTTTGAAAAAGTGTCTCATTAGTCATTTTACTATTTAACGTAATTTTGCATATATTAGTATGAATCTGAAAGTACATAATAATAATTTTCAAATTATTTTATATTAACAGAAAGATTGTGACTAAATAATTTAGTTAAGAAATAAAGGTATGCTTTCGGATAAGACAATAATTAATGCTATTGAAACTATTAACGTTATAGAAATTCGATAGAGGTTATATAATATCAAGAAAATAGAAAAAATAATAGGAAAATTTATACTTTTTCAACATTTAGAAGATAATAACTTGAAAAATTTGATCATTTAAAACGAAATATTTAAGATTATTAAAATTTTTAAATTCATCAATAAATTTGCTAAAATTCAATTTAAGATTTTTGCCTATAATTTTGCATTAGAGAATTTACAAAATGATCTTTAGTTGAAACATGTGTAACAATTTATATAATGAGCTGAATTTTCACAACTTTGATGAAAATTGTTATATTCTAATGGGAGATGAATAATTACATACACTGTTCTCCAGATTCTATTTTATTTCTTCGAATAATATTTTAAAATTTTTAATGAGCTTCAGTAATAGACTCCTCAGTAATCCACTTATCAGTAATATAATAATTATTAATAAAAAATCCCTACCGAACAAAGGTATTTTCAAAACATCAA